ATTTCTTTTCATTACATGTTGCAAAATTCATGACTAAGATTCCTGTAATAAAAGACAGATTAACAAGAGAAAAGCATACACATTTATTTAATATACATTTTATATGACCCAGAAGCCTTCAGAAATGAAGGCCCAAAGAAATGGGAAGATTTGTGTATTTTTATGGACAGTCACGCAGAAGTATGATTGGAAGACAAAAGGGTATAATCTAATGTTAACAAATTAGGAGGGGTGGATTTTGCAAGGTCTTCGGATTTAGCAAGGTCTTCGGATTTAGCAAGGTCTTCAGAAGTAAAACAAACAAACAAACAAAATTTCTTCAGGGTTCTTTTTAATGTCCCTGTATGATATTCCTTTCCTTTGGGTAAAGGGCACATGGAATTCTTCTGGGGAGAAGTGAAAGAGAATATCAGAGAGAGACCTTCCTAGGTTGATAGCCTGCTTCCAGGGAGCGTGGTGGGAGGAGGTCAGAGAGGCCTTCCTGCTTCCGCTGTTTTCTCAAAAGCTAAGGTGCCATATTTGGGGGGTAGCATGTCCTGAACTCTGACAGCAGCAACTGAATCTGCAGAAACATCACATTAGCAGTGTACATGTGGCCCTCAGAATGCAGAGATCAAATTTTCAGTAGTTTGACAAGTATTAGACCTTCTCTGTAGTTTGAGGGGACTGAAACTACAGTTGGTTTTGTAAACTGAACAAACCTCTTTGGACCTGAGTCAGCATCTTAGGTTCTTAAATAATTTGGATGAATGCATCTCAAAAGGGAGAAACTGTTTAGGAGGCTGAGGCGGGTGGATCACGAGGCCAGGAGATTGAGACCATCCTGGCTAACACGGTGAAACCCCATCTCTACTAAAAATACAAAAAAAAATAGCCAGGCGTGATGGCAGGTGCCTGTAGTCCCAGCTACTGGGGAGGCTGAGGCAGGAGAATGGCGTGAACTCAGGAGGCAGAGGTTGCAGTGAGCCGAGATCGCACCACTGCACTCCAGCCTGGGTGACAGAGGGAGACTCCATCTCAAAAAAAAAAAAAAAAAAAGGGAGAAACTGGTATTTCTTCAAATATTGACAGATTTGTATTTGAATAACTAACTGGAAAAATAAGAATTGTATCAGTATTTTCAGGCTGAGATCCTAAAGCAAGTCACAGCAGAACCACATAGGTCGAATTGTATAGTGTATGTAGTGGTATGTGCAATCCTATATTCTCTGAGTGATATGCTTAGATAAGGGTTGCTATGTTAATATCTCTAGACTAGTTCTGATTCTGAAATTTACTTTTTTCTCTCTTGAATCTTTGGAACCAGTGTGTAACTTTGTCATGCTGATCCACAAAGGAAATGATTGATTGGTTCCTAAAATCCGTGAAGAAATCAACAATAAACTTTCTTTGAAAAATTCTACAAAGTTCATTCTATCTGGCTAAACTGAGTTTTAAGAAATCAGTTTCTATCAAGGTCATTAATATGTGTCTATTTCTAAATATTTTCCATATGTTCAAGCAATGTCAAACAGTAGAGGAAAAATCATGTATATACAAAATACAATGTTGTCTCCCCAGGTACTTTCTGAGAGAGTAAGGAGGTATTCTGTGAGAGACTGAATGTCTTGAGTGTTGCCTGGAGTACTCTTAATCAGTATATCATAAAAAGAACACAGTCTTTAGAGTCAGAAAGAACTAGATTTGAATCTCATCTTTATTACTTAGTAGCTTTGTGACTCTGGGAAAGTTAATTAGCCTCTCTGAACCTCAGTTTTCCAAACTGTAAAATAAGGATAATTATATTTCTTTGATAGGATTACTGTGAATATAAAATAATACAATGTGTGTGTGGTGGGCACAATAATTGTCCTCCCAAGATGTGCACGTCCTAATCCCTGAAACCTGTGAAAATGTTAGGTTACATAGCAAAAAGAAATTAAAGTTGCAGATGAAATTAATATTGCTAATCAGCTGACCTTAAAATAGGGAGATTATCCTAAATTAGGCAGGCTCAATGTAATCACAAAAGTCTTTAAATATGAAAGAAACAGGCAGCTTGAGAAAGACTTGACAAGTCACTGCTGTTTTGAAGATGGAAACAAACCAAGGAATGTGGGTAGCTTCTACAATTCAGCAAGCAAGGAAACAGATTTTTCCGTTGAACCTCTAGAAGAAGTGCGTGGCAGCCACTACCACTATTTTAACCCAATGAGACCCATTTTGAAGTTCTGACCTCCAGAACTGTAACATGATACATTTGCGGTGTTTCAGGCCACCCAGTTTATGGTAACTCATTACAGCAGCAATAGGAAATCAAAACACAGTAAGTGTTTGGTAAATAGTTAGAAAACACTATATTTTACTTTTATTTTCAAACTACTTCTTTCAAAGCTTTTGGGTGATCTTTTATTTTACCCTTCAGCAAATACTTCTCTTGCAATATCTGGCCTAGGATATAGCTTAGCCTGGCTACCTGTATTGAGATTTTTCTATTATGATTTGTACAAAGGGAAAGATGCATAAACTCAATATCACTTTGGCTAGGATATCTCAGACTTTTTTTGGTGAAGTGCTAGATAGTATATTTTGGGCCTTGTGTGGTTCGTATGATGTCTGTCTGAAGTACTCATCTCTGCTGGTGTAGCTTGATAGTAGCCATAGGCAATATACAACTGAATGATTGTACCTCTCTTCCAATTAAACTTTATTTATAAAAGCAGGCAGTGGGCCAGATTTAATCTATAATATGGATTATAGATTTGCTCACCCATGCTTTGTGCTGTTTCTTATTTATTTATTTATTTTGAGATGGAAGTTTCGCTCTTGTCGCCCAGGCTGGATTGCAATGGTGCAATCTCGGCTCACTGCAACCTCTGCCTCCTGGCTTCAAGTGATTCTCCTGCCTCAGCCTCCTGAGTAGCTGGGATGACAGGCACCTGCAACCACGCCTGGCTAATTTTTGTATTTTTAGCCGAGATGGGATTTCACCATGTTGGTCAGGCTGGTCTCAAACTCCTGACCTCAGGTGATCCACCCACCTTGGCCTCCCAAAGTGCTGGGATTACATGTGTGAGTTACCACACCCAACCTGTGCTGTTTCTCTTACCTCACCTTTACAAAATATAATACTTCAAAGGTGAAAGTGAGGAATAGAGCTGAATCAAATTCTCTCCATAAAATAATTCAGAAGATTTTGCTTTGTTTGTTGTAGCTATTACATCTGTGAGTTGGAAATCATAATAAGACCAGTGACTAAAGTCACTAAAATAGAAATAGTCATCATGTAGTCATTACACTGTAGAGGACAACAGAGAATGGCTTTTGTATATTCTGAAACCCTGCCTAGGCCACTAGGCTCTATGGATTATTTACCTCTGCAGACATAGATGCCTGTACTTTAAAATGAATCACCATTTATCATAAATTTGCTAATTTGAAATCCTGACAATGCAATCTTCTGATTTTTAAAACTGTAAAAGGCTCTGATGCCCATCTGAAAGAAAGAGTATGATTAGAAATTCATTTACAAGATCTTAATTTCTTTTCCTCGTATTGCGCACTCTCAATATTTCTGTACCCCTTTGGTTTTTGTCTGTGAGCCATTTCCACATGCTGTGTCATTGCTTTGAAATGTGACAAAGTGATCTGAGCTCAGGATCCTGCTGCAGGGGGAGGTATTATTGATTTCTTGGAGAGTAGCAAAGAGACTTGCAATGTCACTGTTAAACTTGGCTGGCAGATCACAGCAGCTTGTGACATCTAATTTACTATAATGAAATCATGAGGTTCTCTGGCCCTTGGGCCTGGAGGGGAGGTGAAAGGTCAGGAAAGTGAGAATCCTGTGCAACCAGGTGTGAAGGGCAGTTCCTTCACATAGTTCCATCTCATTCTGAAAAGAAATTAGCTGAATTCACCTGCTCCAAGTCAACCAGATGGTTTCTTAGCAAATGAAAAAATATAAAGGTCTGATCATCACTGTGCTGGATAAAATTTAATTGCTTCATCAGAAAACCTTATTTTTGGTTTCATTTTGAAGCCCTACAGATTGTTGTAATTTCATAGCTAGGAATATATTAAAGAGAAAATTTTCTTTATGCTTGAGAATGCTTTTAGCCATCTTTTCAATTAGCTGTTAAGTTTCTTCTTTCAATAATCTTCGTTAAGCCATATAGCACTTTGAGAGGTTTTGAAGTCTATTAAACTCAGTTCCTGCTTAACCGATATGCTTCAATAACGGTTTTATTTTCATATTGTGCGTGACTTGTACAAGGAAGAAACAAAAGAAAAACAAACAAGTTGATAATGGGCTTTTCTTTAGTCTCAGTGACTCTTAGTGTTCCTTCTAGCTTCAATAACATTCAGTTCAACAGCTAATGTTGCCCACATTCTTTCTGAATGGTCTGTGACCTCTGTTTCCTCAGATGTATAATGAGTGGGATAATTTTTGATAAGGAATAAGGAGCTTTTTAGCATTACATGATGGTTCCATGTTATATTCCTATACCTGAGAAACCAATGTCTAACTGGGTCTTTGAGGCACAAAATGATTGCTGGATCATTTAGGACAAGTTGAATAGAATTAAGCATATTTTTTCATACTACAGGCAGTGGTTCATAAATGCAAAAAAATTACATGGTCATTCGGAAGAGTGCTAGTATAGATGTTCATAAAAACTTCATTCTATTTTCAACATTGTCATTTTGTCTTCATTTAGAAACTATGACCCTCTTAACTGTCTGTATTTCAGTTTCTTTATCTTTGAAATGGGACTGGTAATACAACAACCATTCTTGAGTACCTGCTTGTCCACAGAAGAAGGCAATTTTACGTGTGTTGTCTACTTACTCCTGTGAGGTAGATATTATCCTCACAGTCTGCAAATAAGAGCACGGAGGCAGAAAGTAGATGATTTTTGCAAAGTTTAACAGCTGACAAAAGTCACAGTTGGGATTTAAATCCAGATCTTCTAGCTCTAAGCAAAATTTTCTTATTACTGAGTCTCAACTTCTTCCCACAGGGTTTGTTCAAGAAGCAAATTGTAGAGCAAAGAGTATTTTCTGTAAACATGAGGTAAGATTATTCATTATTTATTTTGACAACCATTAATTCTTATGTGGTTACACTTTCTAAAATTCACATATTGTAATTGACACTGCAATCACAGAAGCCTACCTCTTCTTTAGATCAAAGTAGTGAGAATTATGAAAAGTGCATTAATGAATGACCACACTTAATCCTCCCCTACAAACCTACCAAGTAGGCATGAGTAATCCTCATTTTACATTCGAAGAATCTGAACAACTTGGATTTGAATTCCAAAACTGAATTTCATTTTGAATAAATTTTCCTCCCTTGAAAACTACATATTAGGCTTGCCTAAAAACTGAAAATAAACCAGTAAGTCTTGGTTATTTCTTAATTTTTTTAATTGTTTTTCCAATATTCCACAATGACCTACCTCAGATGAAAAGGAGGTTGGAACAGGCAGAGGGAAGAGCTCATTTCTGATTTTTGTTGCTAAAGTAAGAGATTTGTGGCTGCAAATTGGATGGGTCTGGGCTGCTCTCTGGGCACTCAGGTAAATTAGAAGAGAAGACACACTCTCCATGGAATTTTGAGGTGGATCGTTGCTGTGAAGCTGTTCTCTCCTGGATGATCTGTTTGAAGATTTCGTCTCAGTTTGGAGTGGTTATGATGGGCCCTCTGGAAGGAGTAGCAGTCTTCTGTTGAGCAACTTACGTGTCACATTTTTGCCTCATGCTTTTACTTGCCATTATTTTAGTTGGTTCACATGTACATGTATATGAATGTATGTAGGTGTATAATTATGTATATTTCTATTAGAATATGTAGGATTTTTGTTGTTAATGTAACTTCTTATTTTATATGATTTACACATAAAAATCTATAATCATGAACAATAATCCTACCTCAGTTCTGAGCTGGAATTGAAGAAGTCATTAGAAAGTATGTACAGATGAATTAAAAGGCGCTCTTTCCACAGAGAACTCTCCCTTTTTCACAGGGAGGGTCAGAGGGAATAAGTGATTTTCCTAAACATCATAAAAAATAAAGGATTAGCAAACTTCCATTTCCTACTGTGGCAAACTAAGTGATTTACACCAATACTCCACTGATCAATGATACAACATCTTGGAATAATATGAAAACATCTGCTAAAATGCATTAAGTTGCTAATAACAGAGCAAAGAATGATCAGGCTGGGATCTGTGAGGGAGAAAAGCCTGGGCAGGTTAACCCGTGTTTCAGGACTGCTTTTCTTCTACGGGAGAAAGGTGTTTGTTGATTCCTGAGTGAGCAGTAGAGAGACTGTGATGCTGAGGATATCCTTTCCATGCGAAAAAACATGGATTTGAGTCCCAGACCCTACAATGCTGTGCCCAGTGCTAAGTGTGAAATGGTATTCATAAGGCCCTGCAAGAGACTGTACCCAGGCTGGGACCTATAATCCCAGCTCTTTGGGAGGCTGAGGTGGACAGATCACTTGAGGCCAGGAGTTCGAGACCAGCATGGCCAACCAGGCTAAACCTTGTCCCTACTAAAATGCAAAAGTTAGCTGGGCGTGGTGGTTCATGTCTGTAATCCTAGCTACTCAGGAGGCTGAATCATGAGAATCCCTTGAACCTGGAGGCAAAGTTGCATCACTGCATTCCAGGCTGGGTGACAGAGCGAGACTCTGTCTCAAAAAAAAAAAAAAAAAAAGAGAGAGAGAGGCTGTACCTAACTTTAATATCATCTCAATCCCTAAAATTGAGTTAAGGCAATCTTTGAGTGATAGTACCCCCAGGTACCTGGAAGAAGGGAAATCATATCTTCTTGGGTGAAGATAATATTATCCTGGCCTCTCTCTCTTTTTTAATTTTTACAATTTTACACAATGTGTCTAATAAAATGTTAAGTAAAAAATGAAAATAATGACATAAATGAGGAAGACAATATGAATAAAGAAGAGCTAAGAAATAAAAATGACAATAAAGGGTTCCATATATTGGTATTATCTGATATAAAATAATAAATATATTCAAGGAGATAAGATTGAGAAAATTTACAAAGCCTTTTAAACTATAAAAAAATGCAAATAGAAATTAAGAAATTAAAAAGTACAATAACGGTTGGTTTAAAGGCATATAGGATATAGCTGATGAGAGAATTAGTGAACTGAAACCTAGACCAGAAGAAAATATACAGACTTAACAGACAAATGAAATGCTGAAAAATGTTCATTATAAATGTAAGAATCATCGAGGATACATCTACAATGCTAATATGCACCAATGGGTGTCCCAGAATAAGAGGAAAAATGGAATGTCACAGAAGTAACATTTGAAGAGATAATAACTAAGTATTTATCACAGTTTCAAGAAGTTTTATGAATAATAAGGATGATAAAAAGAATTATTCACTAAATCACATCAAACCTTTGTCAATGAACCTCAGAAAAATAGAGAAAAAATTTTAAAACATCTGAAGAAAAATGATAAATTAACTGCAAAGAAGTAGCAATTAGATTGACATCTGAATTTTCAATAGAAATGAGAAAATAAAATTATCAGTCATTTTTACTCATTAGCATAGGTGTAGAAAATACTAAATAAAAGATTCCCAAACTAGTCCAATAATATTGCAAAAGTTTGCTATATCATAACCATGTTGGCTTTATTCTAGAATGAAAAATTATTTAAGATTTGTAAATCAATCAGTATGATTTACTTTATATACAGAATAAAGGAGAAAAAAGTAGTCTGGATTATTTTAATAGAGGTAGAAAAGTATCTGAAAAACTTAAAATAGATTTTAAGTCTATGTAAGGTAAATGCTTATTTATATGTGAAATCTTAGCCATCTAGAAAAACAAGGAGCATTTCCTAATCTACACCTACTCCCAAAAAAGGCTTTTAAATAAACTTACAGGAAGCAACTTACATGTTGGTAAAAACCACAAAAGTTTTCCTTTTCTTTTTTTTAAGATTTGGTGTAAGGGAAAGAAGACAGCTATACCATTTCTATTTCTATCTAACATTGTTCTGGAGGATTTAGGAAGGATGATAAAAAGAGAGAAAAAAAGAAAATGTCTAAGAATTAGAAAACAGAAATAATCCATCATTATTCTCAGATGACATATTTTTGTGCCTAGAAAGCCCAAAACAATCCAGAAATCAATTATTGATTTAATGAGTAGCTTTACAGGTTTTGTGAATGTAAGATAATATATATTTCTACCTACCAATAATAATAATAAGACAATACAATTTTAAAAAAGATATCACCTACTGTAGTATTAAAAAATCAAATCTTGGGGGCTGGGTGCTGGGCTCACGCCTGTAATCCCAGCACTTTGGGAGGCTGAGATGGGCGGATCATGAGGTCAGGAGATCGAGACCATCCTGGCTAACACGGTGAAACCCCCGTCTCTACTAAAAATAACAAAATTAGCCCGGGTGTGGTGGTAGGGCACCTGTAGTCCCAGCTTACTCGGGAGACTGAGGCAGGGAGAATGGCGTGAACCTGGCAGGCGAGGCTTGCAGTGAGTCGAGATCGCACCACTGCACTCCAGCCTGGGCGACAGAGCGAGGCTTCCCTCAAAAAAAAAAAAAAAAAAATCCAAATATTGAGGAATAAATAAAAATAACTGTACTTAACCCTATACAGAAAATAGAAAATATTGAGAGGAATTTAAAAAATCCTACATACAACAGAATAATGAACAATATCACATATTAGAAGAAGATCCAATGTGTGTCAACTCTGTCATTTCCCCAATAGTTTCAATGCAATTCATATCAAATTATGAGTTTTTTAAAAAAAATTGTGTGTAATGCGGCAACGGTGGCTCAAGCTGGTATCCAAGCACCTTTGGGAGGCGAGACGAAGGCGAATCACGAGGTCAGGAGATCGAGAACATCCTGCTAACAACCAAATGAACCCCCGTGTCTACTAAAATACAAAAAAATTAGCGGGACGGGCGTGGGCGGCGCCTGTTAAGTCCCAGCTACTTGGGAGGCTGAGAGGAGAATGGCGGAACCTGGGAGAGCCGGAGGCTTTGCAGTGAGCCGACGATCTCGCCCACTGCACTCAGCCTGGGCGACAGGAGCGAGACTCCGCTCAAAAAAAAAAAAAAAAAAACAAAAAAAAAAAAACAAAAAAACGAAAATTGTGTGTTTTACATACTGTAATTACATGCTTAGATTGTCAAAACTTATATGGAAATTGGAACAAAAGCGAAACACTAGTTAAGGTGCAACACCTATGAAGCAACAAGTGAGAAAGATTTGTTTACAAAGATGAACAGGATTATTTTACCAATACAAATAGGGATTTAAAGAGTATGATATTTTTACAAGGATAGACTACTGGATTGATAGAATAGAAATGAGAGCTCAGAAAGAGCCCTAAGCATATGTTGAAACTTACCTCATAAAAAAGTCAGTACTAAAGAACTCTGGGGACAAAACAGGCTTTTTGATATTTGAACATATAAGAAATAAAATGTAATTTGACTCCTGTTTCACAATATACAAGAAAAAATCAATCCTAGGATTGTAGACTTAAATGTGCAAAATAAAACAATAAATCCTCAAGAAAATAATACAGGTATGACTTGGGATAGAAAAGGCGAAAGCTTTAATATAAAAAGATTGATAGGCCATGCCTGTAATCCCAGCACTTTGGGAGACTGAGGCAGGTGGATCACTTGAGGTCAAGAGTTCAAGACCAACTTGGCCAACATGGTGAAACCCCATCTCTACTGAAAATACAAAAAATTAGCTGGATGTGTTGGTGCTTGCCTGTAATCACAGCTACTCAGGAGGTGGAGGCAGGAGAATTGCTTGAACCTGGGAAGTGGAGGTTGCAGTGAGCTGAGATCATGCCATTGCACTCCAGCCTGGGTGACAGAGCGAGACTCCATCTCAAAAAAAAACACAAAACTTGATAAAGATGACTTTATAAAATTAACAACTTTATAAAGGGCAGAAGAGATGTTTATAGCACATATAAACAGAAAAGAGCTCTTATTCATATTATAAAAGATGTCTTATAAGCCAACGTGGAAAAAAAATTAGGAAACTCAGCAAAAGAGCAGGCATTTAATAGAAAACAATATTCAAATGTCCAATAGGAGAGAAAATGGTTGAACTATAGCAATTACCACAGGTATTCTAATTAAAACAACAATTAGATACCTTTATTACACATGGGGATAACTAAAATGAAAAAAACTGACATTTCCAAGTGTGGACAACAATATAGAGCCACTGAAATTTTGTACACTGCTGGTCACTGACTGTATGACCTGAAAAGTCAAGTTGAATTGGGTTGAGGAAAAGGGGCTGGAGGAGAAGTCTTCAAGACAGAATGCACTGGGCACACACATCTAAAGACTGACAAAGATATTCAGAGAGTAATATATGCTATTTTGCTTCCATCCTTTCCCTTCTCTCTCAAATCTCACATGAGTTCCTCTTTTGGCTAACTCTAACCCAGCACCAGACAGAAAAAATTTCTGGGAAACAGTTCTCAGCTTAACAAACTTGACAATAAAAGGGCAAACAAAGGATGAAAGATAGTTTCACAGAGTTAAAAACACAGGCTTTGGAATCAAGCAATACTAGATTTTAATTTTAATGTAGTCTTTTACAATTCATGTGATCTTAGTCAACTTAGCTAATCCCTCAGAGGCTTGGTTTCCATGCCCATAAAATAAGGAAAATGATATATGTCTCACAGACTTGTTTAAAGGTTAAGCATATATATAATGCATATATACATACATATACATTATAATGCATATATACATGATATGTATATATATGATATAAATATATATATAGGATATATATATATATTTCTCAAGGCAGTGCCTAGTTCATAGTGAGCTTTAATAAATGGTTCCCTTTAACAATACTACTGCTGATAACTTGCAAAGAGACAGGTACTAGAATTTTCTGAGGAGCTTTTAAAATATAATGATACAGACTCTGTCCAGCAACATTCTAATTTATTTGATAAATTTTCCTGTCAATAATGGGATTCATTGAGTCAGGATGCTCCACCTTATGAAATGTCTCAGTCGTAGACTAAGTCAACCTCTTTATTTGCTTTCTCTGGACCAGCACTCTTCAGTGTACAAATTTTGTTCCAGTCATGTTTCTAGAGGATACACCTCAGAGTTCATTGGATTTGTAAGTCATCCTGATGACTTTGAGTGACAATAAGAGAAATCCTTGAAAAGGACATTAGGAAATGTATTCATTTTAATTAACAATATTTTGGGAAGCTGGTACTGCAGAATATTAAACGCATTTATTTTCTTCAGATTCTTGCCAGTTGTAGCTATAGTGGATGACCTTCTAATGACCTTTGTACCAAATGGGGGGATGGGATGAATAAGAGAAATTCTTACTGTAACTCTCTCCTCACTGACTACAGAAGGAAATAATGTTATTCCTATTCGAAATGTAAATGTGAGATACTGTGGTGAATTAATTCACAGGTATGCTGAATGCAGTATGACTGAAAAGAAGTGAAAATCTGCTTCTTAGAATTCAATGGGAAGGCAACTACTAATCTTCAAGTTGTAGATGAGTTCCTTTTCGTTGGCAGGCACTCTTTAATGCTTTAAAAGTTTAATATTCTCTGAAGAGGAGTTAAATGCATTTTAAAGTGCCGTTTGTTGTGTGTTCTGGGAAAATGAAGTAGAAATGGGAACATTAGGGTCATAGTGCATTGTTACCGAAAATGAATCCCATTTTACCTCTACTTCACAGTATTCATATATTTTTAATATAATGAGTTCATCCATATTTTAAGATTTAAGATCTTACCTTTCAGGCCTGCCCTTCTCTGGTGAGTAGGCTGTTTAGTATTTTTTGCTTTTTGTGGGGCTTTTTGTTTTTGCTTCTTTTCTCCTTTTGTGAATTTGTGTACTGGCTGGCAGTTCAATTGATAGAGTTGTATTTTTGTAAGATTGCCCCGCTAAACTCAAGCTTACGGTTTCTTTGAACTAAGTTGGTGGTATGAATGAATAAGAAGAAACTGAAGAAAGACACAGGTATTAAAATATTATGGGTGGGGACAAGTGGCACAGTCAAAACTGGACTAAAGCTGAGAAATGAGAAATTTGGGGAGGTAGTCTGAATTTTGCTCTACATGGTGGGAAAAATCCAGTTCCTATATGTGTTTGTCCAGATTTAGATAAAAATCATTTTTTGTAGTTCTTCATCCACAGTTACAGGGTTTGAAGTGATTTTTCTTCCCTTCACTTTCTCCTCAAATTTTGCCAATAATTAATGAATACATCAAGTATTTATTGAGTGCCTAAAATGTGCTCTAGGCAACAGTGAAAATGCACAGTCCATGTTCTCCCAGGGATTACTATGAGCTCATCCTCTCCCATTACGGATGTCTACTGTTGGCAAAGTCATCATCCACCACAGGCTCTTTGCAGGCTGCTATCTTTCCTTCAGATACATGCCTTTTGCCTCTGAGCCCAAATGGAGGAAAAAGGAGAAACCTTGTACCAATTCCTCGTTCACTAGACTCTCAAATATTTCTCAGCCATTGTCTGTAGACATAATAATGGAAAATTTTTAAAAATCAAGTATTAAAAGCAATGTATATTAGGCACTGTCCTAGTTATTTGCATATGTCATTTTGCTTGATCCTGACAATATGCTATGTTGCTTTTAGGGCTCTCGAGTGATCCTACTTAATCAGCTTCCACACGACGACTTCTCTCCTTTGGGTCAAATTTGCCTCAGAGATGAGTCTTAAACACCATCTAACGTTCAAGTGGTTTATTCTGGCAGCATTCTTAGAAGACAAACAGCAGGAGCAGGCTGGTGGCAGCAGCCAGATTCAGTCAGCATCAGGTAACCACCTGACTGGGGATCTCCATCTAGAGACCATTCTCAGAGTTTGGGGAATTCTTCCACCTTTCTTCTACTTGTACTCAGTGCATATCAGTTACTAGGTGTTTCTTTCATAAAGGGAGTTCAAGCTATTCTTGTAAGGGTAAGCTTTGAATTAAGGTTTGTGAAAGTTGCATCTATGCTGAAGTGGTCTTGTCTCTTGGAAGTCCCCTGGCCAGGGTTGGAAACCGCCAGGTCAGGGTGCACTACATGGTATAGTGTCAGACCTACAAGATGTTTGAATGGAATTTATGGCTATCATTAACCCTATAGCCACTGTATGTATGTCTCTTATAATATACTATATTATAGGGAACAGGCCTCCCCACCTGGCCATAAACTGGCCCCAAAACTGGCCATAAACAAAATCTCTGCAGCACTGTGACACGTTCTTGATGGCCATGATGCCCATGCTGGAAGGTTGTGGGTTTACCTTGTGGGCAAGGAACACCTGGTCCACCCAGGGTGGAAAACTGCTTAAGGCGTTCCTAAACCACAAACAATAGCATGAGCGATCTGTGCCTTAAGGACATTTTCCTGCTGCAGATAACTAGCCAAAGCCCATACCTTTGTTTCCCTGCAAAGGAATGCTTTTAGTTAATCTGTAATCATAAAGGAATGCTTTTAGTTAATCTATAATCTATAGAAACAATACTTATCACTGGCTTGCTGTCAATAAATATGTGGGTAAAACTCTGTTTGTGGCTGTCAGCTCTCAAGGCTGTCAGTCCTCTAATTTCCCACTCTACACTCTATACTTTGGTGTGTGTGTCTTTAATTCCTTTAAAACCCAGCGTTGCTGGGTTAGGATCTCCATGACTGAGCTGGTCTTGGCACAATATACTATAGAGACCACTATTTTGCTCATTTTTCTTTGATTAAAAAAAAGTTTTAAAGAGTGTTAAAAAGAGAGTTTAAAAGCCCTTGTTTAAGGTCACTTGATAAGTACATGGCTCAACTAGGATTCTAATCCAATTTTAATAACACAGCTCTTAACCCTTTTCACAAATAAGATAAATGATATTTCTCATACATTTTTGTTCTTTTGTTTTTAAAATGTGTACATAGATACTATGATAAATTACATAGCAATTAATTTAAAGAGAGTGAATGATTTCATAGTAACTTTACTTTGATTATACTCCCTTTTGTAAGAAAAGCAAGTATTCTGATGTGTGGGATGGCACTCAAAATTATTTGATATTTAGGCCAGATGCAATAGCTTATACCTATAATCCCAGCACTTTGGGAGGCTGAAGTGAAGTGGGAGCATTGCTTGAGGCCAGAAGTTCAAGCCTACGTAATATAGTAAGAATCTGTCTCTGCAAAAAATACAAAATAGCCAGGCATGATGTTGTGTGCCTGTAGTCTTAACTACTTGAGAGCATTAGGTGATTAGGTGGGAGGATCTCTTGAGTCCAGAAGGTTGAGGCTACAGTTAGCCATGATTGTGCCATGGTACTCCAGTCTAAGTGACAGAGTGAGACCCTGTCGCAAAAAAAAAAAAAAAAAAAAAGGTATTTAAAATTGGCCTTTATACTAAAAAATATATATGTTGTCAAATACTCTATTATACTCTAAGCTTCTTGAGGGCCAAGGGAATGATCTTGTTCAGCTTTGTATTCCTAGTGCTTAGCTGTGTCTGTCACTTAGGAGGGCAAGAAATTTGTATTAAATGTAGGTGTATAGATAAATAAATTATATCGTTAATGAAGTAGAAGAGTGGTCCAAATATCTAACATAAAATAAGAGCTCCATAATAATTGTCCGGTATTTGTGGAATAAGTTTGCATCAGTATCAGAAAGACAGAGATAGAGAGGTGACGGTATAGTCATTGGTTCATGCAAAGGGAGAAACTTGGAGTCTACTGAGAGCATGATGCTGATGGCAGTAGGAGAAGAATTACTCGCCATCTGAACTCACTTGCTGACTGTGGAACACTCAATCAGACTCTGCATCACTGAGTCCTTTTTTCTTTTAAAACTTCCACATTCATTCATGTAATGTAAATATATGAATACAGTCTAATGGGTATGTGTTTGGAAATGCAATGTGCAGAAAATATTGAGGTAGTAAACAAAAGAGAATGTGGGAAACAAATGTCAGAACCAAACAAAAAGGCTGGGAAAGTTAAAAAGGGCAAATGCTTTTTTGCATATTCTTCCTACTTTGTTGACTTAAAACTGATGTCCAAAAGACTTGTGTGAAAAGAATAAAATAATTTAATCCATCATTAAAATTTAACTGTTTGTTTGATGTTGGTGTGCATTTGTTTTCCTGCATCCTGTAGCTAGATATAGTTAATTAAATTTCATACATGAAACTTGACACACACTCTCTCCCCCCCCCCCCCATATATATATATTCTGTGCTATATTTGGAGAGAGCACATTGAGTATTGGGATCCCAAAAGAATTAGTTACTTGTTTTTCTACTTTGTAATTACACCAGTGAAGGATGCCAGTGAAGGACACTGAATATTTTCAAGATATGGAATTTTTATGTTTCTTTGTTTTTATTTTTCTCTTTATAGTTTTTCATTGATTTTAATTAGACAGTCTTCTGTTTATGAGGGAGTATAGGAAATTTAATATCCCCAAACTAAAGAAAACAAACAAAAGAGAGAGAAACATTTAGCAAGATTAGTTTCTTGAATTGTATTTTGCATTCTAGTTTGAGGTTTTCCTTTTTTCCCTTAAGACAGATTTGGTATAGAAAAAGGCATCCCAGGAGAGTGCTCTAAGCTTCCACAGCACTTGTCTGGGGTGAATGGTGTTTCATTAATTTCACGTGAAATCTTCTTATGTGACAGTATAATTATAATATTATACAGCTTAGCTAGACGTCTTGAAATGATGTGCCAGCACAACCCTAGAAATGAAGGGTCATGCAGGGTACAAGGAGTCTTCAAGATTTCATTTTGAAAACTAAGTACTCGTGACAAGGGACAAAATTGCTAGTGTATTTCTGTATTCGAGGTGACTTCCATTGCTTACGAGGTACCTTACAGTTTGGTGTGATGTCTCTAATTTTTTGAAATGCCAGTCACTTCAATTCATGCCACTTTTTGCTTAGGTAAGAACCTAGGAAAACTGTACTCATGACAGATAAGAAAGAAGAAACACTTCATGCTTTGCTATGAGATGGGAGTAATGTAGTACTGGATATTAGAAATTCACTCAAAATAAATTGAAGACTCTTGGGGTGTGAGGTGGGCAAAATTTTTGTCTATTGAAAAGCATGAAAAGCATCTTTCTTTAGTTCATCACAGAGAGCACATCGATATACAAAACTTTCAAGAAGGCTTTATTTGGCTATTTCACTGTTATCCATTTGAATCTATTCACATCTATTAATTACCTAGCCTATTAGACCTCCCATTACTTTTAACGGAGGTTACAGGTAAATGAGAACCATAGCATCAGATGTACTCTCAGTGCAGTTGAAATCAAATTTCTTATTCCCCACTTGATCATGGTGGATAAGCTTTTTGATGTGCTGCTGAATCCGGTTTGCCAGTATTTTATTGAGGATTTTTGCATCGATCTTCATCAGGTATATTGGTCTAAAATTCTCTTTTTTTGTTGTGTCTCTGCCAGACTTTGGTATCAGGATGATGTTGGCCTCATAAAATGAGTTAGGGAGGATTCCCCTCTTTTTCTATTGATTGGAATAGTTTTCAGAAGGAATGGTACCACTCCCTTTGTACCTCTGGTGATTCAGCTAGGATAACTCATCTGGTCCGACTTTTTTGGTTGGTAGGCTATTAATTATTGCCTCAATTTCAGAGCCTGCTATTGTCTATTCAGGGATTCAACTTTCTTCTCGCTTTAGCTTTGGAGAGGTCGTGTTCCAGGAAATTATCCATTTTTTCTAATTTTCTAGTTTATTTGCGTAGAGGTGTTTTGTATTTCTCTGATGGTAGTTTGTATATCTGTGGGGTCGGTGGTGATATCCCCTTTATCATTTTTTATTGCGTCTATTTGATTCTTCTCTCTTTTCTTCTTTATTAGTCTTGCTAGCGGTCTGTCAATTTTGTTGATCTTTTCAAAAAACCAACTCCTAGATTCATTGATTTTTTGGAGGGTTTTTTGTGTCTCTATCTCCTTCAGTTCTGCTCTGATCTTAGTTATTTCTTGCCTTCTGCTAGGTTTTGAATGTGTTGGCTCTTGCTTCTCTAATTCTTTTAATTGTGATGTTAAGGCTGGTTCAACATTTGCAAATCAATAAACATAATCCAGCATATAAACAGAACCAAAGACAAGATCACATGATTATCTCAATAGATGCAGAAAAGGCTTTTGACAAAATTCAACAGCCCTTCATGCTAAAACACTCAAATAATTCGGTATTGATGAACGTACCTCAAAATAATAAGAGCTATTTATGACAAACCCACAGCCAATATCATACTGAATGGGCAAAAACTGGAAAAATTCCCTTTGAAAACTGGCACAAAGACAGGGATGCCTCTCTCACCACTCCTATTCAACATAGTGTTGGAAGTTCTGGCTAGGGCAATCAGGCAAGAGAAGGAAATCAAGGGTATTCATCTTAGGAAAAGAAGAAGTCAAATTGTCCCTTTGCAGATGACATGATTGTATATTTAGAAAATCCCATTGTCTCAGCCCAAAATCTCCTTAAGCTGATAAGCAACTTCAGCAAAGTCTCAGGATACAAAATTAATGTGCAAAAATCACAAGCATTCTTATACACCAGTAACAGCAAACAGAGAGCCAAATCAGGAATGAACTTCCATTCACAATTGCTTCAAAGAGATAAAAATACCTAGGAATCCAACTTACAAGGGATGTAAAGGACCTCTTCAAGGAGAACTACAAACCACTGCTCAGTGAAATAAAGAGGACATAAACAATGGAAGAACATACCATGCTCATGGATAGGAAGAATCAAATACCGTGAAAATGGCCATACTGCCCAAGGTTATTTATAGATTCAATGCCATCCCCATCAAGCTACCAACGAGTTTCTTCACAGAATTGGAAAAAACTGCTTAAAGTTCATATGGAACCAAAAAAAGGCCGCCATCTCCAAGACACTCCTAAGTCAAAAGAACAAAGCTGGAGGCATCACGCTACCTGACTTCAAACTATACTAAGGCTACGTCAAAAACAGCATGGTACTGGTACCAAAACAGAGATATAACCGACAATGGAACAGAACAGAGTCATTAGAAATAATTCCACACATCTACAGCCATCTGATCTTTGCAAACCTGAGAGAAACAAGAAATGGGGAAAGGATTCCCTATTTAATAAATGGTGCTGGGAAAATTGGCTAGCCATAAAGTAGAAAGCTGAAACTGGATCCTTTCCTTACTCCTTATACGAAAATTAATCAAGATGGATTAGAGCACTTAAATGTTAGACCGTACTACCTTAAAAACCCTAGAGGAAAACCTAGGTAGTACCATTCCAGGACATAGGCATGGGCAAAACTTCACTGCCTAAACCCCAAAAGCAATGGCAGCAAAAGCCAAATTGACAAATGGGATGTAATTAAACTAAAGAGCTTCTGCACAGCAAAAGAAACTACCATCAGAGTGAACAGGCAACCTACAGAATGGGAGAAAATTTTTGCAATCTACTCATCTGACAAAGGGCTAATATCCAGGAACCTACAAAGAACTCAAACAAATTTACAAGAAAAAAACAAACAACCCCATCAAAAAGTGGGCAAAGGATTGAACAGACATTTCTCAAAAGAAGACATTCATACAGCCAACAGACACATGAAAAAATGCTCATCATCACTGGGCCATCAGAGAAATGCAAATCAAAACCACAATGAGATACGCACTCTCACATCAGTTAGAATGCGCAATCATTAAAAGTGAGGAAACAACAGGTGGCTGGAGAGGATGGTGGAGAAATAGGAACACCTTTTACACTGTTGGTGGGATTGTAAACTAGTTCAACCCATTATGGAAAACAGTATGGCGATTTCCTCAAGATCTAGAACTCAGAGTGTACCATATGACACGCATGCCCATTACTGGGTATCATACCCAAAAGGATATATAAACTCATGCCTGCTACTAAAGAACCACATGCACACTATGTTTATTGCAGCACTATTCACAATAGCAAAGACTTGGAATCAACCCAAATTCCATCCAGTGACAGATTGGATTAAGAAAAATGTGGCAGCATATACACCATGGAGATTACTATGCAGGCCATAAAAAGGATGAGTTTGTGTCCCTTTGTAGGGACATGGATGCAGCTGGAAACCACAATTCTTAGCAAACTATCCACAAGGACAGAAAAACCAAACACACGGCATGTTCTCATCATAGGTGGGAACTGAACAATGAGATCACTTGACTCGGGAAGGGGAACATCACACACCGGCGGCCTATCATGGGAGGGGCGAGGGGGGGGGATTGCATTGGGAGTTATCCTGATGTAAATGATGAGTTGATGGGTGCTGACGGAGTGATGGGTGCAGCACAGCAACATGGCAGAAGTATACATATTTAACAAACCTGCACATTATGCACATGTACCCTAGAACTTAAAGTATATGATAATAAATAATTTAAAAAAATTAAAAAAACAAATTCTTATTCTTGGTACTACTGCTATGTAGCTCTCCAATCTGCAGCACAGAATTCAATTCCTGCCTCCTCCCCTGCCCACCCCCCAGCATAGTAGTTGGGAAAGGAGAATTGGAGAATTCAATCAAGAAGCCCAGGAATGGGAAACCAGAGCTCAGCCTGTTGTTTACAGCTTGGTACTATGGGTTGGTTGGTTTGTTTTTCTCCAGAATGCTGAAACAACCGGTAATTTAAGTGAGGGGAAAAAATTCAAATCAATAGTTCAACATTATTGAGAGATAATATATTTGATGGTTTATTTTATTTTTTCAGTTGATTACATTAGGAAAATAGTCACAGGATCCATATGGCACATTGTAGTGAAAATAAGTTTGACATATAAGTCATTTGTTGTGTCACTATGAATAACTGCTTTGGAGTCTCTGGACATAAATTTATTCATTTATAACATAATGATGGACTATCCAGTTATATAAAGTACCTCTAAGTCCTGGAATTTGTTGACTCCTGGGTTTCCATATCTGCCATATTAGAATTAGTGTGCTGTGCAAGGCTAAGAGATTGGTGAACATTTTTCTTCTTATTTAGTTTATGAATTCTCAGGATGAAAACTTTTAAAAATAAAAAGTACTTCTTGCACAAACTTTCAAAGGAAGTGCAAAATTTATGAGCTTTCAAAAAGTCCATGTCTTAATCTTTTGCATCAACATATTCAAAAGTAATGAGATACTTACTATCACATGTTACTGCGAATTAAGGATGCTTAGAAGGAAAAATACGCCCCCCCCACCACACACACGTAGTTTATAATTCGTGAGGATCTAAGTGTTTTAGGGATGCATTTTTAAAATATTACTTATGCATTGAACAGCAATCAGGAGCATTTTGGTACATTCTAGGAGATTATCAATTTCAAAATATTAAGTTCTTTCAGAAGCAGAATTTTCAGATAATCCTCTGGGTTGGCATGAGGTACATTTTGGCATAATGCCAACATTAGTGCTTTCAAAAGTGAATATATTTAGTTTCACACAAAATTTAAGCACAGAAGCAGGAATACTAAGTAATATGAATAATGTTCTTTGGATTTTAAGGAAAAATAATATTGCTTTTACTTCATTTTTCTTATTCTTCAAAGTCAAATAAATGTGAGGTATGAAGAATTGCTTGGAGAATTTTGGAAAGTGTAGCTGCTTAATGCATAAACCCAGATTTTAGAATATAATTAAAATGAAATAAAGTGAAGAGATTTATTTGTATCACTCACACTTGCTGCGCTTTAAATACTTTCCACAGCAAATAATTCAGTAAATAATTAAATACGTGAGAAGGCAGGCAATCAGGCAAGAAGGCTAGTCAATAATGGGTAATAAGTGTTATCTTCCTCTCTTCATCTCTTCCTTCTTTCGTCATGAGGAATAAATTTTCTATTCAGAAGTGTAAAAGAAGGTGATTAGTATGCATGTTTGTTGCAAAATTATTAATATCAGAGAAAAATAAAACAATCTTCAAATCTAAGAGTAGTGCTGTGATGAAGTAAAATACAGCCTATCTATTTGAAAAGTGATTGAGTTATTAAAGTAATGACTCTGTGTGTATTGGTATGCACCTATTCATTCAGGTTGTGTATAACTGACCTAAATTCTAATTGGCCATTAGTCTATTTTAGCTGGGTTGGCCCCTGTCAAACTGGTTGTTAAATATTTTGAATATCATCCTAAGACTTGTATAATACACAAAAATACTTGGAATACAAGGTTGTTTGATCAGAATTTAATGCAAAATTTAACATAAAGATTGAATTATCCATATTTTTAAAACACATGAATATTTAAAAATAGAATATTTAAAAAATAGAATAAAAACTTCTGATATTATTAAAGCAGGTATATGGTCAGTAAAAAAATTATTAAAGCAGGAAATCATAGAAATGAATACATGTAGAAATTAATTTGTTTACATCTAAAACATGTGAGTGTATATTCATTCACCAATTTTTTGATAATGAGGCAAGGATTCTTTATATCTGGGACTTATAATTGAAGATTAAAATTGTCTTTTTATAGACCACATATACATAATTGATGCATTCTTTATTATTTTCCTTTACAGTGGAATTAAGAACTTAAAAATACTAGCAAAGAAAGTTGACTGCAGAGTGGGCCGGGTGTGGTGGCTCACGCCTGTAATCCCAGCACTTTGGGAGGCCGAGGCAGGCGGATTACGAGGTCAAGAGATTGAGACCATCCTGGACAATATGGTGAAACCCCACCTCTACTAAAAGTACAAAAATTAGCTGGGTGTGGTGGTGCACATCTGTAGTCCCAGCTACTTAGGAGGCTGAGGCAGGAGAATTGCTTGAACCCGGAAGGTGGAGGTTGCAGTAAGCTGAGATCGCACCACTGCACTCCAGCCTGGTGACAGAGCAAGACTCTCCATCTCACACACACACACACACACACAAAGAAAGAAAGAAAGTTGACTGCAGAATTCTGCTTTTGGACCAGGCACGGAGGCTCATGCCTTTAATCCCAGCCCTTTCAGAGGCCAAGGTGGGTGGATCACTTGAACTCAGGAGTTTGAGACCAGCCTAAGCAACATAGTGAGACCCTGCCTCTACAAAAATACAAAAAGTAGCTAGGTGTGGTGGCATGCACCTATTGTTCCAGCTACTTGAGAGGCTGACATGGGAGGAACACTGGAGCCCAGGAGGGTGAGGCTGCAGTGAGAGATTGTATCACTGTACTCCAGGCTGGGCAAGAGAGCAAGACCCTGCCTCAAAAAAAAGAAGAAGAAGAAGCAGGAGAAGGAGAAGGAGAAGGAGGGGAAGGGGAAGGGGAAGGGAAAGGGGATGGGGAAGGGGAAGGAGAATGCAGTTTTTGTGATTTTTTTTTCCAAATCATTTGAAGACATATTACCATGCTTAATTTTACAGAATTTTTTTAGTGATTTATATTTATTGAGTCTTTGCAAACGATTCAGCTTAATTTTCATAGAAATAACAACTACATTTTATGCCCATACTTCATAAATTTATATACTTATTACATTATATAATTAAATTATTTATTTCATTTACATTATTATGTATATACAAACACAAGTGCAACTACTATCATAAAATTTGAGAATATTGAAATAATTTTTGTGTCTGCACTGAAATATCTAAGTAATAAAATGTGCTGTCAATTTATCTAAATTCTATTCATTGCTTCTAGTAATAGTCTAAAATTCTGAAAACCAACAAATTGTGAGCTAGCTGGGCACCACTGAAAAATTACCTTAATCTTTTTTCTTCATTTATGAGTCCAGGGAATCCCACTGCAATTGCTGCAACACAGTTTGAATGACTTTTTTTTTTTTAAAGCAGTAACCAACAGGGTCAGATTTGGCTATATGAATGTCAGCACTTCCAAGTCCTCAGGAATAGGAAGCCCCCTAAGATCTGATGACAAGGAGGCTGAGATTAAAGGGGCAATTATTGCTGCTAACTGGAATAAGCATTTTCTCATCCTGAGGATTCTAAAACAGTAACAAAAAGATTCTAGAAACATTGTTGAATCAATATATAACAAGGAGATATTCATGGTTTCTGTGATACTTAAGACAGATCCCACTGCCAAATAAAATCTTAGAATATTTTATATCATAATGGCTTTCCCTTCACATGGGAATCAGGAAATGTTTTCAGCTAAGACCGAGTTGTGAAGAAAGATTTTCATAAAGATTTTACTTGTGAAAAGCTTTTTGAATGAGCTTGCATCAATTCAATTCAATCTTCCAACTCAACAATATGTCCATGTCTACCCTCAGGGCATAGGGAAAGAAGGGGAAAGGGAGAGATTATTATCTGTTTGAAACACAAAACAAAAACATCCCCCAAAACAACAACAAAAAACAACCATCACAACAGCAAAGCAAATAATGAATCCTTTTTTGACCTCACATTCTACTTGAGCCCTGATCTTAATTTTTAGCCTTCCTTTGCATCAAACTGCCTAGAGAGAGTTGTTAATGTTTGCTTTTTCTGATTCATTTTCTCCTATTTTCTTTTGAATCCTTTGTAAAACTGGTTTCTCCTCTAATAGTTTGCTGACACTGTTCCTGTTGTCAATAATTACCTCCACATTGCTAAATCCAGTGGTGAATTCAGTCCACATATTCCTTGACCTATGGCAGCATTTGATTCAGTTATCATGCCTTCTCCTTAGATATACATGTTTTCACCTTGCTTCTGTGACGCAGTGAAACCTTTAGCTTAATGTCTCTGTCATCAGCCACTTTATAAATTTACTTTCTTTGTTCTCCAACTCCTAAATGTTAGAGTATACCAGGGAACAATTCTCCTTGCACTTATAACTCCCATAGATCTTACCATTCTCAATGTTTTACATATCATTGATATGCTGTTGATGCCTAAATTTGTGTGTCTAGCCTATACCTCTCCCCCAAAATCCAGATTTGAATATCTAATTTCTTATTAAAAACTTGGATGTCTAATAGAAATCCCAAAATCAACGTGTCCCAAATTGAACTCTTGACCTTCCCTTGAAACTTTTCATCAGCCTTCCCATCTAAGAAAATGATTATATTTTCCTTCTTGTTGCTCAAATCAATAATGTTTACCTAACCACAATTTAAGTATATCCTGCATCCTATCTGTTCACAAGTCTTGTCACCTCTGCCTTTAGAATATAACCAGAACTCAAACATGTTTCATCACTTCCCCTGCTCACCAATCTGCTTTTTGCGTGGGCTTTTGCCAATAATCTCTTAACCTGGTCTCCCTGCCTCCATTCTTCTATCTTACTGTCCATCCACAGAGATGCTATAGTGGTTCCTTTCAATGACACTTTAGATATTGATAGTCTTCTGCTTGAAATGTCTAGTGGCTCCCCACCTCCTGTAAAATAAAAGTCAGGGCTCTGAGAAGACCCTACAAGAGCAAAAGAAAGGCTCTGCTCCCTCTCAGACTCAGTCTGACCACATGGCTCCAACCAAGCTGTCCTTAACTAATCTCTGACCAGAACAAACATAATGCCTTGGGTGTTTAGCACTGGCTGGTCCCTCAGCCCGGAATACTTTCCTTCATTTTATGCATGTGAATAACTTTTTCACATTTTCATGTTTTGCTCAAATAGTATTTTAACACTGAGGCCTTCACTGTCTACCTTGTTTAACACAGCAATCCCTCCCTCCCCAACATAGCATAACCTAACAGGACATAAAAGGACAACATCCCTTTAACCATACCTATATTCAGGGAAAGCATGGCCAGTTAATCTGAGTTGCTTTTAGTAGAAGGATAATTTTGCTGCCTCTTCAGACCCTAGTGGTATAGTACGGGAAGAAAGCATGTATGGATGCCATACAACAGATGTCAGTGCAAACATGCTGAGACGAGAGAGAGAGCCAGTTTATATTCAGGGGAAGCATGGCTAGTTAATTTGAAGTGACTGGTTTAGGGAGAGTGGAGCAGAAAGAGGCTTCCTCCCCTCAGCAACCCTACAGTCATCTTGTTGCACTTGAATCATCACAAAATCCTCGTCACTGAAATTTCACTCAGTCAACTTGAGATGTACTTGACCAGTGGCCATTACAGTTCAGAAAATGTAGTTCCAGGCTTCAATAATACATGTTGATCTTTCCAAAACTAAGTTTTAGGTAGTTATTGACCATTTATATTTTGGAGAATAACTTTAGAGGAAATTAGGGATACTACTAACTACCATTATTGGGAACCCTCTATGAGCTGGAGGATTTTTTGCATAAGTGCTTTAAATAAATTATCTTTTTAATCTTTCCACCCACACTTCAGGGTAGATATTATTATATCAATTTCTAAGGTGAGAAAACTGAAGCTTGGAGGGTTAAGAAACTTGCTCTATGGTATACTTGGTAAGTGGCAGGTCCTTTTGACAGCCAGCTATGTGTTTTTCCCATTCATTGTATCTTGTTGCATAAAAGAGCAATGAAGAGCAATAGATGTGGAGAACAGAATATTTCAAACTGGGTGAAGCAGTTCACGTTTCAAATCTCAAAGCAAATGTTCACATATTTTGGAAATAAAATATTTCCATTTGTATTTTTGCTGTTGGAAAGCCATAAATGGTAACATCTCGTGAAATAAAACAAAATAAATACATAAATAACCTCCCTACCCCGCTTGTGCATGTTTTGCAAGCACGACAGACAGATTTATAAGACATGTCTGAACCTCAAGAAATCATGTACTAATAAACCCATGATAATAACCATGAGTCACTCTATTAGTCCTTTCTTACATTGCTATGAAGAAATACCTGAGACTGGGTAATTTATAAAGGAAAGAGGTTCAATTGACTCACAGTTCTGCATGGCTGGAGAGGCCTCAGGAAAACTTATAATCATGGTGGAAGGCAAAGGAGAAGCAAGGCACTTTCTTCACAAGTCATCAGGAAGGAGAAGTGCTGAGTGAAGGAAGAAGAGATTCTTATGAAACCATCAGATTTCAGGAGAACTCATGAACTATCACGAGAACAGTGTGGGGGTAACCACTCCCTTGATTCAATTATCTCCACTTGGTCCCTCCCTTGAAACGTGGGGATTATGGAGATTATATTTCAAGATGAGATTTGGGTGGGAACACAAAGTGTAACCATATCATTCTGCCTCTGGCCCTTCCCAAATCTCATGTCCTTTTCACATTTCAGAACCAATCATGTCTTCTCAACACTCCCCCAAAGTAGTCTCATCTGAGAAAAGGCAAGTTTCTTCTGCCTAAAAGCCTGTAAAGTCAAAAGCAACTTAGTTGCTTCCTAAACACAATGGGGGTACAGGCATTAGGTTAATATGCCCATCCCATATGGGAGAAATTGGCCAAAATTAAGGGGCCACAGGACCCATGCAAGTGTGAAATCTAGCATGGCAGTCATATCTTAAAGTTCTGAAATGATCTCCTTTGACTCCACGTCTCCAGGTCATGCCGATGCAAGAGGTGGTCCCAGTGGTCTTGGGAAGCTCCACCCCTGTGTCTTTGCAGGGTACAGCCACCTTTCTGGCTCCTTTCATGGGCTGGCATTGTCTGTGGCTTTTTCAGGTCTACAGTGCAAGCTGTTGGTGGATCTACCATTCTGGGGTCTGGAGGACAGTGGCCCTCTTCTCACAACT